CCTGCATGACCCGTCCTGGTTGCCCTGGGCCGGGGCTGCATGGCCCCACAGCAGCAGATCCAGACCCTTCGGGGTGAGGCACGGGGATGTGCTCGTCCAGGCTGCCAACCCACTGTGCTGTGGAAGTTGTTGGGGTGCCAGAGGGGGACAACCCCTTGCCCCCAACCCAGGCAGCTGCGCAGGACCTGCCTCTGCCGGAGACATCACCAGATTAGAGGTGACTCACCATAATCTTGAAGAAGTGGATTAAATCTCCTCCTGCCACACAACTTAATGAAATCCATCCCATAATATGCTCCCGGCCCTGCTGTTCCCCCTCATCCCCTGCCCTCTCCAGCCCCTTGGCGGCAGAGTCCCCCCTCCCCACCGAGGGGCAGGGCTGGTGCAAGGGCACGGGCAGAGCGTGGGCATGAGGAGCAGGCAGCCCATACCCCCCGTGGCCCTGTACAGGCAGCAGCAGCCATGGGCTCTGCAGGACGGGATGATGGGCCACGCTCGTCCCCAGTGTGTGGCATTTGCAGGCAGCTGTCCTGCACCGCTCCCCAGCAGATGGAGTGGGGGATCGGGCTGGAGCTCCCCAGGAGCAGCTCTGCCCCTCTCGGGGCACCCCAGGCAACCCTGCACCACGGTGCCCGGGATTGGTGCCCAGGGTGCAGGGGAGGGCATGAGGGGCTGTGGCACGTGCCCCTCTGCAGGGATGGGGCTGCTGTGGGCACAGGCTGGTCCTGCAGGGTGCCCGTTTTCCTCTGATGTCCCTGGGCCGGGGAGATGGGGACCGTGCCGGGCTGCCTGTGCATGGCCGTGCCTCCGAGGGCGAGTGAACAGCGGGGAAGGATCCGGCTCAGGGCCGGGAGCAGGAAGGAAGGAAGGAAAGCAGAGTTAAAATAAGCCAGGCAGTGAGCCGCGGGGGAGGCCAGGGCTGGAGCTGGCTCCCAGCCTCCAGGGAGAGGGTCGGACTGGGGTGGACTGGGCTTCGTGTGGCACTGGGGCACCCTGGGGCACCCTGGGGTGCTGCGCAGTGCGTTGGGGCTGGGGTGGGGAGAGTGTGTGGCAGAAGGGTGTCGGGAGCTGGCGGGGTGTATGCTGCCTGTCCCATCCCTGATGGCTCTTCCCCCTTTTCCCACCTTGGCAGGATGGATCCCGGCAGCGGCCGCCGCAGAAGAAGAAGACGGTGTCCTTCAGCACCATGCCCAACGACCGCAAGATCAACAGCACGGCTGCCTGCATCTCCTTCATGCTGGAGGGCTGCGAGCTGAAGAAGGTGCGCTCCAACTCCCGCATGTACAGCCGCTTCTTTGTGCTGGATGCTGACATGCGCTCTGTGCGCTGGGAGCCCTCCAAGAAGGACTCGGAGAAGGCCAAGATCGAGATCAAGTCAGTCAAAGAGGTGCGTGTGGGCAAGAAGACGCCCGTCCTGCGCAGCAACGGCCTCTCCGACCAGTTCCCGGACGAGTGCGCCTTCTCCATCATCTATGGAGACAATTATGAGTCCCTGGACCTGGTGGCCAGCTCAGCCGACGTGGTGAGCGCCTGGGTGATGGGGCTGCGGTACCTGGTGTCCTACGGGAAACACACACCCGAGGCGCCTGGGACCAGCCACCCCAGCCTCCGGACCTCCTGGATCTCCTCCGTCTTTGACCTCGCTGACCTAGAGAAGTCTGGCCACATCCCTGTGTCCCGGGCTGTGCAGCTGATCAAAGCCCTCAACCCAGGCATGAGGACCTCCACCATCGAGCTGAAGTTCAAGGAGCTGCAGAAGGCCAGTGAGCGTCCTGGCACGGAGGTGGCCTGTGACCTCTTCGTGGAGGCGTACTGCGAGCTCTGCACCCGCCCCGAGATCTTTTTCCTTCTGGTGCAGTTCTCCAGCAACAAGGAGTACTTGGGGCTGAAGGACCTGCTGATGTTCCTGGAGGTGGAGCAGGGCATGGAGGGGGTGACGGAAGAGAAGTGCTTGGAGATCGTTGGCAAGTATGAGCCCTCCAAGGAGGGCCGTGAGAAGGGCTACCTGGCCATCGATGGCTTCACACGCTACCTGCTCTCCGCGGACTGCTCCATCTTCGACCCGCAGCACCGCAAGGTGTGCCAGGACATGGCGCAGCCCCTCTCCCACTACTACATCAGCTCTGCCCACAGCGCCTGCCTGCTGGAGGACAACTTCTGGGGCCGCTCGGACATCAGCGGCTACCTTAGTGCCCTGGGCCTGGGCTGCCGCAGCATCGAGCTGGTGCTGTGGGGCGGGCCCC